CGTGGGCGTTACCAGTTTCGACACCTCGCATCAACCTGCTATCGTGGACCCAACTGCGAAACCGTGAACCAGCCAGCATGTAATCGATCCGACTGGCGCAGGGCCGTCGTTTGAATACCAGGTAAGTAGATGTTTGCGACGATGCTGAAAGCATGTGTTCGTAACAAATAGTCGGTTCTGTACAGCGAACTGTAATATCCTCTCACCACTTTCGATATGAGAGCCAGGCCCAAAACGACCAAGAGGGTGGCTGTTTGACGGGTCACCGGGTCCAGTCTGGCCATTTCAGTCCCCGGCACAATTAACAGATCATAGCGAGGAAGTCTTTCGACTAGCTCCTGTGGAAATTTTCTTTATCTTGCTGTTCGGCCGCTGATGTTGGTGCACACACAGAGGCTACAGAGATGTTCGTAAAATGGCCCTTTAGTCGAACATAAACCATCCGGTCATTGACTGGTTCCCATGCCAGTAGCGCAATGTTTGCTTGTTCCGAGAGAGCAATAGCTACACCGTGTCTACCAGATGATTCACGTGAGCCACTGTGATACAGGATGAGGTGAGAGTCGACTCCTGGGATTTTTATTTCTCGGGCGCCTTAGTCGAAAAGTCGGACTTCGGACAGGCAGCAAACATCTACGTGATATTCATGAAGACTGTGCGCTGTCAGAGTTTGAGTACCAGGTTCCAGAAGTGCTCGCACATTCAAGCATCCAATACCAAAAATCTGTTTTCGGTCCAGATTTGATCGCTTTCACTGAAAATAGTGGGCACCAGCACCTTCGAATGAAAATATATGTTTACCACCATTTGTATCACCAAAACAATCGCGAAGCAATACACCATTTTTTCTACTCCGGGTCATATTACTACAAACGGTAGATTGCCATACTCATTCAGTAGCAAGATCATAATTTGCGGGCGTGATTAAATACACCTTTGGGGATGCTATTTTTGTTGCTAAATTGAGTAGAAGCGCAAAGTGCTGGTGGTAATACCGACTGGAGGGCATGGGCTGGGATTG